TATCTCAAACAATCAGAGCACCGAGGAAAAAGAATCGAAGCTCACCCATTCTAGGGTTTCCGGTGAGTTCGAGGGAAATTGGAGCTTTTCTAGGCCAAATTGGACTTAGCGACAGGTATAAAACTTGCTCTACTCATTGAGATCTTCATTTCTGTGAAATTTGGTAATTTTTGAAAATAGTTGATTTTTCTAGCAAGTCAGGGCAGCCGACCGCCGCGTGCGGCGGTGGGTGGGTAGAGACCCCACTTGACCATCCTAGGCTAATTTGATGCCCCGATTTCATAATTGACATCCATTTAGTGAAATCCTGATGTTTTAATATAGTTTCGTAGTGGACCGCCTAGTTAGCCACCACTTGGTTATTATATGAATGGATGATCCGACCGTTGGATCGACACCAAACTTTAATACGTGATAGTACATAATATATATGGACATTAGGAACTTATGAATCAGGAATCCAATGTACGGATCTTCCCGAATTGAATTTCTAAAGTATGTAAAATCCAACGTTGACAACCACTTGAATTTGCGATTGGCAGAGATCCAACCGTTGGATCGTAAAGAAGTTTTAGTATGTTGTTCTAGAAGCATAGTGTGGACTTTGGGAACTTATAGATCAGAAATCCATGGGCGGATGTTCTAGATTGACTTGTGTAGGGTTGTGGACCTCACCTTTGATAGAGACTTGACTTTTGTAAAATTTAACGGGGTCTCTCCTTACGTTTCTCGACGTGCTAGACCTGAATCCGCCCTCCATTTTCCAAAATTCTACCATTTTAAAATATTTTCTTTATTAGCCGCACTTTGTACGAAAATGCGTTTTTACGTTAGTACATTACGTATTTACATAAATGATTTCGTTTCTAGGCAAAACGCATCGCAAGGACTCTCGATGCTACGAGGCAGGTTCGACTCAACGACATGATCTGTGAGTGGGTCTTTTCTTTATATATATATATATATATTGGTTAGTTTCCATATATACAAGCATTAATAAATTCTTTATGCGACTGCCATGATTAAATTAATGTTTATAATAAATACCTTATTGTTGGGAAATGATGAAATAATCCTCCAGGATGCACAGGTAAGCTTACTAAAAGGAGATGCCTTGATTATATTTATGGTCATGAATAGTACAATATTGATTAGAATTGTTGAATGGTGATAGGAGCATATTTATGCGACTTAGTTAGCTTGTTCTTGTGCATTTACGTTGTATTTCCTTAGTTATTTTAGTGTTTAAAGTTATTTTTGTGTGTTTTCAGACTCTAAGTACAAAGTATGCAAGAAGATGCATTTTGGAGGCCTTTGGAGCATGTTTCGGGCTTGGAATGGATAGCAAATGCATGGGCCAAGTGGATGGACGAATTTGAGAACTAAAGAGGCCAAGAATATGAAGAATTATGGTCCAAAAGATGAAGAAAACAGCCCAAAAATCTGTCACCCCAACTTGCATTCCTTGCCATGCAAACCACATAGAATTCCCTTTGGATTCCATGCCATGCTTGATCACTCTTGTCCCCTACATAATTTCTAATTTCATGCTTCAATTCATTTAATTATTACACTCAATTGCTTGATACCTCTTGTTCCCTTCACTCATTAGATTTTAGACAACATTTACATCCATTACATGCACCAATTGATGCTCCATCATTCACATTTGGAATCCAATGCCATGTGCAACACATGTTGTTGCACCTTTGACCCATTTGTTGACACATTTCACCTCCCTTTCCATCTCTATGCAATGTACATAATCATTCATGCTCCCTAGCTACAACACCACTCCATTTTACCCTTCACACTTTGCATCATTACTTCATTTTCACCCTTGGACCATTGCACACCACACACATAAATTGCCATGCATTTCATCCTTAACCTAACCTGATTTTCTAAGGTTTTTGGGGCCTATAAATACATGTTTACACCCCTTGGCCAAAGGACAATCCCCCATATTCATCATTTTATCACAAAAATTCGTCCATACACACCCTAGGAAGCAAAACACCCCCAAAAACACCATTCTAGTGCCTAGAAAACATAACAGCCACTCCACCTTCTTCCACCCTCTTTGCCTAGTTCTCCACCACCCTCCAACCATCAAACACTCCTCCACACTCACCCTAAACCCTTCCATACCATTCCCCATCCATTCTATATCATAAAACTACCCAAAATCTGTCCATAACCCAATCTGCCGCAAGCAAGGGGAAAGGAGGAATCTTGGATGCACTTGCTACCAAGTTGGAGCATTTTAGGTGTTTTTCTTTCCTTTGATTTTTAATGTCTAATTTTATGTATCTTTGCTTTGTGAGTATGAGGAACTAAACCCCTCTTAGTTAGGGGGTGATTCGAAACTATGTTCATACTTGCAATATGATTTGATTACATCCAGTTGTGATTCATAAGTTGTGAATTCAATTTACTTATCCGTTCATATAAAAACTAATTTGTGTATGTTGGTTAAGAGTGCACGCTTAATTTTCATGCATGAATTTGACGCTAGAATATAAGGGAGTTTCACCTAATCGTTATAAAACTTATATTCACAAGTAGTGAAGGTTGCTAGTCACAATCACGTTAAGTAAACTCTTGGCATAAGTTTCATGCAAATCATAGTAAACGAGTGCCTCGTCAATGCTTATGTTTTTCATAGAACTTAATGATTCTTGCTTGTATCTCTATTATGCAATTCATGTAGGGAACTTGTAGGGAATGTTTTGGGTTGTCGTATGCAATCATCCAACCTAATAACTTGTGGAAAAAACTGAGGGTTAATTAGTGCAATTCACGGTTAATTTGGGGCGTTGAGTATTCATAGCTTATCGAAAAGCAACTGGAAATCGTTTTGTATGCAAGTGTGACATATGTGGAGAAGAACCTCCTAGCTAATCTTCCATCCATAAGTTTCATTCAAATTCACTTACAATCTGTTTTGTTTTCAAATTCATTAAAACCAAAATCCCCCTTTTACTTTATTGTTTCAAAGTGTTTAATTTCTGTTTTGGTTGTGTGTTAGAGTGTTTTGATTCACCCAAATTTGTCTAAGAATTTGTTTACTTTGTTCTTGTCTTAATTTAATTATTTTCGTCGAAAATCAACCCCATCTTATTTCTTTGAGTCATATTAATTAGAACTTGTCTTAGATTATGTTTTTAAGTGTTTTAGTTCATTAGAAAACCAAAATTTGTCCAAGTTTGTGTGAGAGTCCCAAAATTGCCCAGATTGTGTTTTTAAGGTAGTTTTGAGTGTTTAGGGGCTGTTTTGAGTCTTTTGGTTTGTTTTAGTGTTTTAAAGTATAGTTTTGCATTCTTTGAGTCTAGTTAGTGTTTTAAACTTTGTTTTCACGTTTTCAAGTCAGTTTCCAAGTGATTTAGCAATCCCTCCTAATCCCCGGCCTAGAACGATCCCTACTTACATACTTTACTACAATTGATAAAAAGAGGGTTTAATTTGTGTGTTTAGTTATTTTACGCATCAAATGGCTGTGTCATGACTATATTGATGTTATCTGCTTATCATTTGCTACACTGGTGTTGGTACTCGCCTGGGTCAGGGCCAGTCTTTCAAGTGTATGTGCACATCGCACCGTACACTCACTTTGGATCCATTGTAGGTGCCAGTCCTGTCGTACAGGTTGCTATAGGCAACTTCGACTTGTATGTGATGCGCATAGCGGCAGTCTTCACGTGATTGTAGTGCTAGAGTGTACATTATTATTACACCCAGTCTTGTTCATGTCAGAATACCTCTACATGAACTCGTGTGTCAGCATGTGTCGATGAGCACCCAATATGATATGTTGCTTATGTGAGATTTTGTGATTATGGATGTCATCCCCTTATTTACGAGATATTGTGCCGTAATGAATTCTTGAGATTTTGCAGGCTACAGTGAGTATTTTCTTACTATACGTAGTATGTATATTCTGAAAACTATATTGATTTTACAACGAGGGGTTATAACGTTTTCAAAAATGTTTTTATAAAGCTTTATTTTTAGGCCCACTCATCCTTGTTTTTCGCTCCTCCAGGTTTTAGTAGCTAAGCTTTCATATCGACGAGGATTCTTGGCAAATCTTGGTGTAGACGATTACCTTCGATGGTATAATTCTCACCCCATCTTACTGTAGTGTACTTATGCTTTGACATCATGTGTGAAATGGGTTCATTTCAGCTCACAGTGCACTCTTCTATTTAGGCACTTTTAGTTAAGGATACCAAACCCACAAATTGTGTCTTGAATGTCGGGGGCATTAAATGCAAGAGTACTTTGCATTTTGGAGGGAAAGCAATCGCACAATAAAAAACAAAACAAATATTTGGGTCTGAGTTCATAGTTGAAGTTGTTCTAAATATAGTTATCACATGTAACATTCAGTCGACCTAAAGTAACTTCATGTAAATTTTCGTACAAAGTGGCTTGAGCCATTTTTAGTAGATATATGTATGTTTAACTTGTAAATTCGGTACAATATAGCTCGAGCCATCTTTATTTTGTTCCCATGAACTCTGATGCTTCACTTGACAAAGATGTATGGTATGTTTTCCAACAGAACAATTTATGAAGCAAGATCTCTTTTCATGCATGCGCAGATGGTGTCTAGTGTGGCCACCTATATCGCTAGGTATGCAAATGCCTTTAGCACAAACAAATTTGATTCTTTTTTTCTTCTTTTTTTTGTTGGTCTGACAAACTATTTCTATTTAAATGGTTTATGGTGACAAGAATTATGCAAACATTATCTTGTCATATTTAAGCATTATTTACTTGCAAATGAGGAAGAATATTATTAAATTATAGTATTAAGTGGCGTAAATCATAAAGTTAAACATTGTGAATTAGGATTAGAAAACTAGATTATTTAGGAATAATCCAGAGATGACGTTTTGATTTGTTTGGACCCAAGTGAAGTGAATTTGTTTGGCCCTAAAACGCAGCGTTTGGCAATTGTTGAGTTCAGTTCGGTCGTTGTAGCCAGGCAATCTCATATTCTCATCCACTCCCAGTCCAACGCTTCGCTCACTTTGGAGCCCTCACTTGCGCGCCATCCATACCCTCTCTCTCTCTCTCTCTCTCTCTCTCTCTCTGCTTCTCTTGTGCGCCTCACACCGCCGCCGTCCACCACTGCTCCGCACAATTCTCTCCGTAATCTCTCTCTCTCTCTCTCTCTCTCTCTCTCCGTCGTTAGGGTTTCAACAATTTCATTTCCCAAATTTACTTAATTTTACTTATTTTCTGATATTTTGTTAGCTTTGTGTGCTCCATTGTTAGGGTTCTTTGAGCACTGGGTTAGCGGTTCGCATCGCATATCAGGTAATTGCAATTTTTCTCCTTTTCGTCCCCCTCGAGTTCGATGCTCTGCTCTGTGTTAATTTGTCATTGGAATTGTAAATCTTTTTTTCTTACCTACCAATTGAGATACTTGAGTTTGGTGCCATTTTCTTCAATTTTCAAGCTTTTCTTAGCTTCTGCTATTCGAACAGACTATACATATCTATATGTTTTACTTCTGAATTATTTGTTTCGAACTATTCGCGTTTCCATTAGTATAACCTTTGGAACCTTTGAAGTCAATGCATTTGATCCATTAGTATAACCTTTGCCACGAAAATTAAGAAAACAAAAACTAAAAACATCTTCTTAAGATAAAAGGGGTGCATAGTTCATTTTTGTAAGTTAATGAAACCCAATGATGACACGGAGCTTTGTGCTTATGTGATGGAGAGAGAAAGTTTAGAGACTCACTAAGAAGGTAAATGCACAGTTGTAGAGGGATTGATGGAGTCACTGAATTTGGCTGATTGAAGATTGCATGTACAAAAGTTTGGGGTTTATGGCAAGGAAATGGCAATTCTTTCAATAGTAATCTTTGGAGTGGCGTTATTGCCATTCAAACCATTTTTCGCGGCCCTACTTAAAAAAAGAAGAATTAATTACCTTTTTACATCGATATGGAATTGCTTAACGCATATCCACCGTGGCCATGCCTGTTACTTTAAATTGTTGCCTTTATGCCAGAAGAGTTTTGCCACATTGCAACATTAACTATAATTCTAATTATTGGATTTGGTACTTATTATTGCTGCTTAAAATAAAAGAAATCACATCACAAGCTTATGTGCATGTGATGATTACTAATGGTGGGAGAGAGATTAGCTAATGGTAGCGCCAAGAACATGTGCCCACAGTTATTAGAATCCATTAGAGAAGAAAGATTAGCTAATGGTGGGAGAGAGAGAAAGTGCGCCCTTCCCCTGATGGGATCGCATCCATTGCCGCCGTCATTCTGAGTAAACATTGGGATTATGGCCAGGGGGGAAGAATAAGAAGGGAAAATTTGAGGAATATCATGTGGTGAGATGAGTTGGTTAGAATCTTTTAATATTTGAACGAGGCTGAGTATGGGGGTGGGTGGTGAAATAGGATTGGAGGATCTCAATAGTGCTACTCCAAATTTTTAAGTTTAAGAATTTTATCACATAGTGAAAAAAAGTTAAAATGGATACTGAGAGAATGGGAGACAGAAAGGAGCTGGCAACCTAATAAATGCCAATCATTATGCAAGGTGGGGAAAAAATGCGCTATTAATAAAATGGAAAGTTTAAATTAGAAGGAGGTTTACAATTTTTCTTTTTTATTAAAATAGTAGTATAATAATAACTAATGACGCTTTAATACTTGTAATAAACTAAAAAGATGAGATAAGAGGGGAAGAATGTTGAGAGAAAGAGGAGGCTCTGTACGTCTGGGCCTTTGCTAGATTGACTAGTCCTCCTTCGGCTCTTCTCTCTCCATTTGTGTTGTGGCCATTTTCTCCTTTATTGTTTTTCACACCTTCTATGAATAGTCAATTACTGAACTATTTCATTCAATACGAGTTGGCTCCAAGTATGTTTTGGTTGAAATTCAAAAATTTCTGATATTGTGTGTTTGCTTCTGCTCAATGCTCACAGAAAGTTCACTGAATGGCAATTATTCCTTGTGGAAGTACATGGGTTGCTCAATGGGGTATTCGTCCCCAGACCATGCTAAGGCCCTATGCCATAAACAAGGTCCTCACATCTCAATGTTGGTAAGTTCTTTTTTTAATTTTTATTTTATTTAAGAGCCTTAGGAATGCCATTGACCCCATTTATAAGTTCTGATTATATTTCTATCAATTTTGACTATTATTTTGAATGAAAAACTATACCCTGTTGCCATTTCTTCTATGCATGCTATATCTGTTCCTCTCATTTTGTTTTGGTTTCTACTTCTAAATTAAAGTACATCTGCTTAACAAGCTACAAGCTACCAGCATCTTTTAGATTGTTTTTACTGTATTATTTGAAGTATCATTTTGAATGCAGTGTTTCAAGCAAAATAGGCTATTTGGGGGCACTGAATTCAAGCTTGTTCTCTCGGGATTCCTTGAATGCTCTATTCTGTGCAGGCCCATCTCAAACTTCACATCACAGCAGGGGAACAAGATTTATAGTTAGAGCAGATTCTGTGAGTATAACAAACATTGGTCGGACTTTTTCTTCCATGAATTAAGAGGCTTAATGAATGAATTCTCATTAACTGTTTCACGTATTCTTACATCCAGGACTTTTATTCTGTTCTCGGGGTGTCAAGAAATGCGAGTAAATCAGAAATTAAAAGCGGTATCTACACTTCTATTTTCTTTCTTTTTTTTTTCCTTGTAAACTATTGTCTATATATTGTTTCTGTTTGTTTTATATGCTTTTCTCATCATTTTTATGGATTTGAGATTCAAAAAACCTAAACTCTATATCTATATTTAGAGCTAATTGCTTGCATAATATGATATCCAGTTCTTACTTCTCCCTTACCCTGGCATGTTTATCTCATTCTTCCCCCACATGTATGTATGGGCAAAAATACACAAAGGAATATATTACATGTGTGCAGTCTAACTAGTTGAATGAATAATACTCTTTGTTCTTAGTATGGATGGAGGACCCCCCAAATCCTGGATTTGAAGAGCTGGGAAATATAATAGGAACACCTCTACTGTATGAGGACTGTTTTGTATTGTGATGATCTGCGTGTCATTCTTCTTCAACCAAGAAGAAATGCATGATTTGTTCCTTTTGGGGGTGAAGAAATAAGGAATAGGCAGCTATTTGAGGCAGTTGGAGATTGAGTTTTCTCATTCATAGGAATCTTTGACCCAATGTAACTTTGTAAGCTTTATTTTTTATGATATGTGACATTCTCCCTCTTGAGATGAGGTTTTTAAAATTACAATGACATCTTCTAGATATTCCATGTGTTATAAAGTTTTTTGGGGATTTCATATTATCTTTACGAATGGATGGCTGTAATTAACATACATTACAAAGTAAGCCTTCATATTGGAACCTAATATGTAAAATGCTTTGGTATTTGTACAAGTCAGAAAATAAAATTAAGCTTCTGGTGTGATGTTTGTGTGCTTGAAAGATCGAATAACTTATAATTAATGGCTTCAAGCATTGAATAAATCATGGTTTGTGGTTTTTGGGGTTTTCTTGTGTTGTTTTTTGTTTCTTCTTCTGGATTATCATCATCTAATTTTTCTTCTGCATACTTCTCACTTTTCAGCTTATCGGAAGCTTGCAAGAAGTTATCATCCAGATGTAAACAAGTGAGTGAGTTGTGCCAGCTAATTTTTTACTAGTAGTGCTTACCCTTTGTTTTTTCTCCTCTCCCTTAATGTTACTTTCTACCCATTATTCTCTGTATTTGGTCCTATAAAAAGAGGGTTATCTCAGTTCATTATGTTGCAATGGAATGTTAAGAACATAAGACAGATCTCAACATGCTCAGTTTCCATTAGAGTTTTGGACGTGTATTATAGGGCTGGATAGTATGTACACACTTAGTAGTTAGCCCGTAGAATTTTAGGACAGAATGCTTGAAGGTTCATGGTTACTTTATTCTATGCAGAAGAATATTCTCCCAATACCTTGGCTATATTTATATCCTTTGTCAATAGTAGAGATCTTTTAAGTGTTCTTTTTTTCCTTTTTCCCTATTCAAGTCAGTTGAAAGGTTTGTGATGATGATGATGGGCTAGAAATGATGAGAGGCACATTCTAATACTTGTTTGTTTCATCTTTAGAATTTGGGATCTGTGCTGATGTGGTAAAGCTAAAGCTGCTAGAGATGCCATATGTTTATGGGATTTAACAACTTGTGATTTAAGTCTTAGGCTTGCGAAGAAAATGCATTAGGGGTTCGGTAGAGCAAATTAAAGTTCGAATGAATATTTGTAAAGTGGGAAAACAAGTGTGGATGTGAAAGGGGCAGCTTGCGAGAAATCACTTGCTGTTTATTTTCTTGGGGCTATGTGGCTGTTTTAAAATTGGTGGACCAGAATCTGGCCAAAATTCCTCTGCTCCTCATCTCACCACCCATGCTGAATGACTGGGAGAGAGTTTAGTTTAGTTTAGTGAGTTTTCTTGGGTTGTTATGTAATATTTTATTTATTCCTGAAAGGGGGTTCGGTAAAGAGGAACCTTAAATTTAAGGACACAAAACATGATTTAAGCAATTGAGGTTGGGCTGAGTTTTACATCTTTAGCTCGGATGCACAGCTTTAAATTTTTATTTTATTTTAGTTTTTTTTCTAAAATGGTGGAAGCTATTCCATCTGAGCAAAATGTCCACATTTATAGATCTACCTCAGGATTCAGGACAAATAATCTAATGGCTTTTTAGTCAAAATGGTCCCTAAGATTTGCATAACACATAACTTTGGTCCCTGAGATTGTCCATCAGCCATTATTTTGGTCCTTCCGTTAAAAAACTCCGTTAAGTTGAGGGTATAACACATAACTTTGGTCCCTGAGATTTGCATAACACATAATTTTGGTCCCTGAGATTTGCATAACACATAACTTTGGGCCCTGAGATTGTCCACCATCCATCATTTTGGTCATTCCATTAAAAAGCTCAAGGACCACTTAACGGAATTTTTTAATGGAATGACCAAAATAATGAATGGTGTACAATCTTAGGGACCACTTCTATTGATTTTAAATCTCAGAGACCAAAGTTATGTCTTAGGGATTATTTTGGCTAAAAAGCCTAATCTAATTAGGCAGTACATGTGAATCTTTTTGCAAACACTCTGTCATAGAAATTATGGAGATATAATCATGTCTGGATTTTTGAAAGTTGATGTGTTGACCCACCTCATCTCTATGTCAAGACATGTAATCATGTCTGGATATATGAGGTTTGATATGTTACCTTTGTATATCTGTTTTGCAAGGCAAAAACTGTTCAATTTAGTTTATCAATCTATGTGGTATGTGTTGTCTGTTTTCATTTTGTGGGAACTGTATGTTCTTTGTTGCAGAGAACCAGGGGCAGAAACAAAATTCAAGGAAATTAGTAATGCATATGAGGTAAAAGCATGGCTTTGAAAGGTATCATTGACCTGGTGGCCACTATTATAGTAGTTATATTAATTATTTAATCTTCGCAGGTCTTGTCTGATGACGAAAAACGATCGCTATATGACAAGTATGGAGAGGCTGGAATTAAAGGTGCTGGTATGGGTACTGGGGTAAGTACCTTTCAAACTGATGATGGGGAATATTATCTCTTCATTTGCATCTCTACTTTCTTATAGTGGGACGATGAACTGTGATGTTGCAGGATTTCAGCAATCCGTTTGATCTGTTCGAGTCCCTATTTGAGGGCATGGGCGGTATGGGTGGGATGGGCGGAATGGGGGGCAGGGGTTCTAGGAGTCGAGCGGTTGATGGCCAGGATGAATATTATAATCTTGTCTTGAACTTCAAGGAAGCAGTTTTTGGGGTTGAAAAGGAGATTGAAATTAGCCGGTTGGAGAGCTGTGGGACTTGCAATGGTTCTGGTGCTAAACCAGGCACCAAGGCATCCAGATGCAGCACATGTGGTGGGCAAGGTCAGGTTGTTCAATCAGCAAGGACTCCGTTAGGTGTCTTCCAACAGGTCATGACGTGCTCATCATGCGGTGGGACTGGGGAAACATCCATCCCTTGTAACACTTGCTCTGGGGATGGTCGGGTGAGGAGGACAAAGCGGATCAGTCTGAAAGTTCCAGCTGGTGTGGACTCTGGGAGCCGTTTAAGAGTCCGAAATGAAGGTAATGCTGGAAGGGGGGGCGGGTCTCCTGGTGACCTATTTGTTATTATAGATGTCATCTCAGACCCAGTCCTCAAACGTGATGATACCAACATATTGTACAGCTGCAAGGTATCCTATATAGATGCAATTTTGGGAACTACAATTAAGGTTCCAACAGTGGACGGGATGGTTGATTTGAAGATTCCAGCTGGCACCCAACCGAACACGACCCTTGTGATGGCTAAGAAAGGCGTTCCCCTCTTAAACAAAAGCAACATGAGAGGTGACCAGCTCGTTCGCGTGCAGGTTGAAATCCCAAAGAGATTGAGCACCGATGAGAAGAAGCTCGTCGAAGAACTTGCGAGTCTAAGCAAGGGCAAGGCTGCAAGCCGGAGGTAGTTTCTTTTGTGGTCCTTTGTTTCATCGATACAGAACTGGCCCCGGAGGTAGTTTCTTTTGTGGTTCTTTGTTCCATCGATACAGAACTGGCCCCGTCAGTTCGATTATATTCTTCCTTGATGCGCATTGTGGACCGCAGCAATTTTGATTTAGTTTTGTGAGGGGATCATATCTGTAGTCGTAGGTAGAACACTAGTTTGTTTTCTCATACCATGTATTTTCAACCTAATGCTTATTTATTCTTTGGGATTAAACATAAATTATACGAGGTTACAAGGAAGGTTTTCTTCATAATAGTTTAAGATGCAGCGAGTGTTATATATACTCACAGAGAGCATGCTTTGTGTGTATGAACAACTTCTCTTAATATTACATAATTACTATTTTGTCCTTCTTGTGTAAATATTGTGTATCAAAAGTGAGGGTAAAATTGAAAAAATAAGTATATGATTGTCATTTTCTCAAAAAAAAAAAAAAAACAGGTAAAATAGAAAAAATAGAGATATGATTGTCATTTTGTCAAAAGGTACAAAATTACTATTTTTCCATTCTCATGTCAACATTGTGTATTCAAAAGTGAGGGCAAAATTGGAAAAAAATAGGTTAAAAAGTTGACAAACCCTTTTCTCTTAATAGAATAGATAAATATAGGCCTTTTATCCAAAGTGATCCCCATTTTTGGGTAAAAATGGGGACTAGTTGTAGGGTCCATTCTATGTTGAATTTCAATGCAATTATCTGAAATGTTTATTTTGTAAGTCTCAATTAATAGATCATTCTTGCAAAAATTCGATATATGCAAAAACGTTTATCTATTTAATTATCACAATGAAATTTCATTGTTTCTTATAGAGCATAGTGTTGGTCAATTTCTTTGAACTCAATTACATGTCTCAAATATTTCGATTAGACTGATATTTTGTAAGGATGATCTATGAGATCCAACTTAAAAAATAGATGGTTTAGATCGTTGAAGTTCGATACAGCGTGAGCCCCACAACTAAATCAATTAATTTAGAACAGGCTCTTCAAAATTAAATCAATTAATTTATGGGCAGCCGCAGCACTTCATTCATTCAGTCCGAGAGTCGAACCATACCAACCGATCAAAACCAAATCAGAATTTGCGACCGGCCGCACCAGAATCCCGCATCTCCCATGATGGTCTACTCTCTTTTGCAATATCACTCGTGATTGCTCGTTCTATCGGCTTAATGACACAGAAATACTATTCACATTAAAAGACAAATGAATATAGATATTAGTCCCTGCATCAATGGAGAAAAGATGAGCACTCCAGGTATTAAAACGAAGCTCACCTGGATCGCTAGAAGGAGAGGGATTAACAACTTCCCCTTATCATTGGGGTTAGGTCCCTCGATCAATTTCTTGTCGACATGAATAGACTTGCTTCTGTTCAAGATAACTTCCGTCATTGTTTGGACTAAATGAGATATCCAAGCAGTTCCATTTGGAAGAACCTGTTACCCAACAACAGCCAAAAAGATGGAATGATACACAACTGTATTTCAGGAAGAATGACTGTAAGCATGAGTCATGATGTTAGGAAAATAACTAACCTTTTCATCATTTTCATTCTTGTTACATCTCCCACTGTTCTCAACCAAAACAACAGGAATAGTCGAAGCCTAGAGAGAATACAGTAACACTTTCAGAAATATGAAAGGCTTTGCAAGCACACAAGGCCTTCCTGGAAAAGTAATTCAAAATGAAAGAACGAATTTGTTTCCGCCATTCACCATTACTTGTAAGATGGATTAACATAACTTGAAACCTTTATCTTCTATTTTAAATGTAAAGGAAAAGAGAAACACGAGATTGAGCAAAGCATATATAAATATGTTACCCCATAGAAAAAGTATGACACCCAAACAAAACTCCTGTTATGATATTCTACTTCATAAATCTTCTTGTTCCTTCTAAATTATTAGAAATTATAATTATCACTGCTTAGACTTCAATTCACTTCTGAACATCAAGTGAAATTTGAAGTCCAGACTCCTAGCATGATAATATAAACCTCATAGCTATTAGTGTATTCACATACAAAGTCAAATTTGACATGTATTTATTTGAAGGTTTAGTATAAAATAAGAAGCATTAATGAACTCAATAGTTACACATTGGGGTCCCATCATGCCACCACTTAATTGCAAGAGCTATGCAGCAACTCAGCAACCAATCCTCCACCTGGTAGAATACTCTAATTTACATATGTATCGCCCCCATCCCCTCAACTTCACATTGATGTATTGTTGGTACATACCATAACAAACAAAATAATTATCACTTCAGAAGTATAAAACAAAGGATGGATTGAAAACTTAAGTCATACATCAAATTCATCAAAAGCACAAGAAACTCATGGAACCCAGTAAAGGTAAGCAAGACTACATTTTTTATTTTTTTTTATAAAGGACAAATATGAACATATACATAATTCACAAGACACTATTACAATATTTCGTGTCCCAATTTAATCCCATAAAATTACCCTTCTGTCTAGGCATCAAGCTCCGACGTAAAAAAACCTATGTCAAACATGACCATGTACATAATTCAGAACAATTATTTTGAAGATTTTGGGGTGAGCTAGAACCTCCTATGAAATAGTCATGCATATCATTCAACACGGTCAGACACAAAATCTATCATATTCATCTAATTTCCAGGTCTTAACCATGGATGCTTGATTCTTTTTCAGTTAGCGAGGGCATAGCAAGAAGGTATCCTAGGGCTTAGTTTGAAATACAAATCAAAGGTTTAAGCGTCCTTGTCACATAAACCAGAATGTTGAGTATTTCTCTTCCCTATTTGAAGCTCATTCATTACCGAAAAGAAAAATCTACCCTTCACACAGTTCACGTACTTCCAGATTAATAGTCTAACAGGACATTAAAAGTTCCTGCCTTATGCCTTCAACGAAATAACCATAATGCCAATTACATCCAGAAAAAAAAAAAAAAAAGGAGGAAGATATGGAACTTAAAAGACTGCCTAAACTAGGGAGGAAGAGATTGCTCACCTGTGCATCCTGTTTTTTCAATCCAGCACCAAGCCGGACAATTTTTAGAAGAGCCTCAGATCTTTTGGAGACAAAGCCCTCATAAGCATAACCATCTGGTGGTGAGAGCTGAGCATGTGTTAGAACAACCAAAGCCCTATTCCATATTCCCTTACCGAAACTATATGTTATGGCTTTGACAACCTCCTTATCCAGGTTGTCCACCCTATAAGCATCCAATTGATCCACATAGAGTAGAACATCTATGGTCTTATTCAAAAGGAAGCTGCTCAAGAATACCACCAATAGAACTTATAGTCGATTAGTATTATCAACAAAATTCTTGAACAAGAGCCCGCAGCGCATTTCCGCAAGAGACTGAAAAAATTTTAAAAAACATAAAGCATGAGCTAACCTTTTAATATTATTAAGAGCCATGCCACTAACATATCCTCCTTCTATGAGCCCAGGGGTGTCAATGACGTTTAATGTAAACCCTGCCCTCGAACGTGAAAACATCAAAGGTCTCGTTCCTTCAGACTAGATAGAAACAACAAACAAAAATCCAAAGAGTATTTACAAAGGCAAACAAAAGAATCCACTGAATCCAGACTAAAACAAAAGCAAGACAAAAAAAACCTGAAAAGGACTGATGGGAACAGCCCTTTCACCAAGGAGCGAATTGACAGTGGATGATTTTCCAACCCCGCCTTTCCCCATCACTAGAACAGTCAAACTGTTCACATTCTATACATGCACCACACAAAAGTAAAAGAAAGTTAAAATTTAATTACACAAATAGAAAGAAGATGAATTTGAGTACTAAACTAAAATAGCAAAGAAATTGAACCTCTTGCTTGAGTTTTCCCAGCAATTCAAGCAACTTAGTCTGAGTGGCGGGTGCGAAGCTATTTATTCCAGCCCATTCTCTAATCATCTGGGATGCCATGGCTCAATCTCCGTTCTAGCACTGAAAACAAAACATGGAAATAAAACTAAATACAATAGTAATGTTTTCTTTTTGGGTAATGAAGGGCCCATTTGATAACAGTTTTGTTTTTGGTTTTTAGTTTTCATACAAAGTAGTTTCCTTTTTCAAGTTTTTGTTTCATATATTCTCCTTCATTCCTACCACCACCCTTATTCAACCATCGTTACTCCCACACATTTCCCTTATATCTCTGGCCAAAATAAAACCAATCTGAAAACAAATGGGCCTCAAGTATCTGAGGTGTCAGAAATCAAGTATTTTGAAGCACAGCTTAATACAGAATAGTAGATAGGACTAACTGACCCTTCAAAATTTGTTTTCAATAAATGGGATGACAAAGCACTGAGCTTTATATCTTCCTCAGCGCTTCGATAAAAACCACCCAAGCACCCAATGGAATTAGTTAATGAACGACCCTTACCTTATCCCCTAATTCGATTTTACTTGACAACCCCAAACAACAATCTGTTGGCTTCGCCTAATCCCTGAATTCAAATTAACAAAGGAATTTCACTACCTGTAAACTTTTGGGTTCAACGCAGTCATCATCGAAATTTGAAAGCAATGCTATACAATTTGCAGTAAATTGCTGCAAATCTAAGTGATATAATCAACACCACGCAGACAAATTCTTAGCTAGCAGGCAACATTCGCTTGGCAGTAACCAGATAAATTAACTTCAAAGTGTATGAACTGAATGGTGATAAGTTTTTCTATAGAGCATTAAACGTCGTAGAACATTCCTTGCCAAACCCACATGGACTAAATTTAGATAAACCCCTTGAAGCACCAAACCCACAAACAATTTACACAAAAACCCAGATATCAGAATTGAACATGGTGTCTGTGGTGATGAATTTAACTATTTTAGGACTGAAAATTAAGCAAAGAATTGAAATTTAAATAGAAATACCTTTGAAAGATAGAGACTTTACTTACCCCTTTTACTGTGGCATTAAGAGGTGGGAGACACAGATGGAGGAACCAGCTAGAGGGGGAGGGGGAGGGGGAGGGGGAGGGAGAGAGGGTATGGCGAGGATAAGTATAGTACCTTTGTTGGAAACGCAATTCCCGGGTAAAACAAAATTGGTGTCGTTTCCTTTATTTTATTGTCGTTCGCCCGGCTTAATTGTTTCATTATTTTCTCTTTCAAGGGTCGTGGGTCGATGAAATTAATGAACTATTCATGTGATTGTTTTTTTTTCCTTTTTAGCAAACGATATTATTTACATTAAAGAATGCTAGAGAGTATCAAGTCTCACACCGAATTGATCATAATAATATGATCAAAATTTACCTATGCGCATCAATTTTTGTACTTACAGCTAATGGGATTCTCAC